GCACCACCAAACTCTTCGAAGGACATCACGTCCAGCTCAAAAAGAGCATCCACCGCGGGAATAGCCTCGAGGGTGACGTCACCGTCTTCCTTTCTCATCTTACCGTTGACAAGGGTAGATTGCTGTGCGCTATCGTCTATAGTAGACACCCCTGGGTCAGGGTCGACGCCTTGCGTCTGGCAGATAACATACGGCATCGCCGTCTCCTCTTTCTAGAGAGGTATTACGTCTCATCGAGACCAGTAAGACACGTACTCGACGTCGTCCAGTGTCCCCAGTCCCTGCTCCAATGAAGCCTTGATGTTATTTACAGCTTCCGGCGAAGAGTTTTTATTTCCGCAGTCTTCATCCAGTGGATAACAAGCCACTCCACGCGCATCATAAAGGCCGTGTTCAGGATGCCTTGGACCTCGTCCGACCATGGCACTTTTGGCATGGAACATTTGCGTCATAACGTGAGCAGTGCTTAGTGGATTACGTGCCACTCCAAGCGCATCACAAAGGCCTCGTCTTTAATGCGTCGGACCACATCTGACCATGCCACTGTTGGCATGCAGCAACTGCTTTGTTTCTTTAGCAGTGCTCTGTGGGTCACATGCCACTTCACGTCCAGCCCGCGAGCCACCCTCGGGACTCCTGTCCAAAACACCGTTGGTATTCGACAACTCGAATACTTTGATATCCAGCACATTGACCGTCCCGGTCCGGTGTCCGCGCCAATAGCGCTTCTGCCTCCTATCAAATGTGATAAATTACTCGATAAAACTCCACCAGAAGACGTGCGCGTAGCGCCCAAGGTCTTCGGCCTCCAATCAAGCCATGGCTCATGGTGTTCCATTCCACGTCACCCACTGAGCACTGTTAAAGGAACAAAGCAGTTGCTGCATGCCAACAGTGGCATGGTCAGATGAGGTCCGAGGCATCAAATGCGAGGCCTTTGTGGTGCGCTTGGATTGGCACGTAATCCACTCAGCACTGCTCATGTTTTGAAGCAAATGTCGCATACTAAAAGTGCCATAGTCGGACGAGGTCCAAGGCATCCTGGGCAAGGCCTTTATGATGCGCGTAGAGTGGCCCGTTATCCACTGAACGAAGACTGCGGAAATAGCAACTCTTCGTCGGGAGTTGTTAATAACATCAAGGCTTCATTGGAGCAGTGGGGACACTAGACGACGCCGAGTACGTGTTCTCACTGGTCTCGATGAGACGTAATACCTCTGCAGAGAGAGGAGTCGGCGATGCCGTATGTTATCTACAGGACGCAGGGCGTCGACTCTGACCCAGGGTGTGTCTACCGTAGTCGATAGCGCACAGCTTCATACCCTTGTCAACGGTAAGACAAGAAAGGAAGACGGTGACATCACCCTCGAGGCTATTCCGCGGTGGATGCTCTTTTTGAGCTGGACGTGATGTCCTTCGAAGAGTTTGGTGGTGCCTTGAAGGTAGACAGTTTAGCCGAGACGATAATTCTGAGACCGAACCAGGAGATCAACTCGTCGTCGCTTCTGGATGAAGCTGTCCTGGAGACACTAAGACGGTGCTGAGCGTACGAAATAGATCATCGGTCCTGGAGGATCCCTCGGATCGTATCATCCTTTGGTAGAGAAATTCCAAGACGTCGTCTCCAAAGACCCGCCATTGATTTCCATTCAGATCGAGGCGTTCGTGATGAGACTGACCTAGTTCCGGCTACCACATACTGCGTAACACGCCAATGGCCCCTGACCAAGGAGCAGTGTGACGACATTGACACCTTTTTCGCTCAAAGCACAAGGCAGAAATGGTGCGCGAGAGCAAGTCTCCCCATTCGACAGCCATGTTTTGTGTCCGGAAGCCGAACGGCAAGTGGTGTATCGTCCAAGCTTACAATAAGGTAAACGCTGCCACCATTCTGGCTCAGACACCGATTTCTAGGAACGATGTTCCCCAGAACAACATGGTTGGCTGTACAAAGTACATCGCACTCGACTTGGTCGATGGTTATTACCAATTGCTCATGAGAGCGAGTGATATTCCGCTGACCGCGGTGAGTACTCCGAGCGGGATGCTCTGGAGTTATCCGAAGGGCTGTCAAATGTACCAGCAACATTTAATCGTCTTGCGACGCAGTTGTTCAGGCCCCACTGGGCGTATGCACAAACATACTTCGACGATATCTTCGTCCACAGTCGTGCGAGGAACAGGAAAACAGAAGCGGAAAACCACATCAAGAGCGGTGCTCGAGTGCATGCGCACGAATAAGCTGTATGCTAATGCTGATAAGTGCATCTTCGGCGCAAAATAAATCCTTTTCTTAGAGTGCTTTGTTGGCAAGCGAGGCCTTCGAGCGGATCCTGCTGAGGTCAAGGCCATTGTAGACTGGCTGGTTCAAAAAGAACCAAAAGGACTCGCGCAAGTGGCTTGACCTCGTCAATTTCTTGCATAAGTATAGCGCAAATTATGCGGAAAGGTACGTCCATTTGTCGAATCTATTTGAGAAGGATAAGATATGGTTTTGGAACACCAAGCATCGGGAGGCTTTTGACAGGCTCAAAGAAAGCCGCCTTCATGCACTAATTCTGGTGTTGTTGGACCCCAATCTTTTGGTGTCGTCTGTGACGCTTTGGACTTCGCCATCGGCTATGCACTGCTGCAAGCAGTCTTTGAGGGGCGAGATCGGGTGATCGTGTTCGAATCTCACCGGTTAAAGGCTGCGGAGAGAGCTAACCATTCCACGACAGGAAATTACCTGCGACGAAGTATGCACTTGACAAGTTCAGGGTGCACCTGCTTGGCTCAAAGCCGTTTGTGATATACACAAGATCATTCGACATTGCGCACTGCGACTCAGTCGCCTCACTTCTCGCAGAGGATGGCCTGGTTTTATTAAATGCTTAAAATCTTCTTACGCATGCAGTTTCTGCATTCTTTAAGACGAAGCTGCGTCCACGGTTTACTGGACCTGTTAAGGTCGTGGCCATGCGAAACCTTGCGGGTACGCTGAACCTTTTGAAAATGATGAGCAAGCACATTTAAGCCGTACAGGAACCCACCCCGGCGCCAATGCTTCCGCGTTCACTTGCACTAGATCCCCAAGCGCTCAGCCACCCAGAAGCTGAACCAGCAACTAATTCTGAGCAAGGAGCGCAACAATTTACGTTCCCAACGGCACTAGGCGCTTCATTGTCGCACGAAGTGACGTATTCGTCTCTTCGACGGCTAGAAGCCACTTCAACAAAACACGATGGTCCTCAACGTGAGGCAGTCGATACACCAAGTGCTCTAGGCTCTTGAAGACTCCCGCACAGCGGTAGGCGACCTCGGAAAGATGATCGGCGGAGTGCCGATGACGACGGACTTTGTCCTCCAACGCTCGATGAGCATCGCGTGTCACTGGACGGCTATCGACAAAGTCATCATCGCCCGCTGCCGACTTTTCTCAATGAGAATGGTGGTGTCCACTACCACGTGGGACGCCTTGTGGGTCGAAGTCCTCAACAGGGTGAAACCCAACACCTTGTGAAGTGGCAGGGATACCCAAACTCCAAGAACTTGTGGGAGTTTGTAGTTCCACTTCTGCAAGACTGCCCAGCGCTTATCATCAGAAGAATCATGACGCTTCGCGTCGTCGTGCACCGCCCCGCGCTTCTTAACAGTAGCCCGGGAAGGCGGAGGGCTGTGAGTGGAGCTCAAGCTATGCCCTGGTTGTAGACTCACTTGTGTAAGAAAGCACAGAGCTCATGAGTGCGTGATGGATTATTCCATGTGTCACAGGGCGACATAACGTCGGAATTCGGCGTTGCGCCTTGAGTTTGGTAAACTCAAATCTCATATGGCGCTGTACGCGCATGTCCACTTCCTTGTGCATTAATAGACATCGACGAAAGTTCTGGATGCCTCTTCATCTGCAGCTGTTTTGCCAGGGGCGAGCACCACAGGAATAGCCCGCATTGCGGATACAGGAGCGCCTCCTCTTTGAGCTCGAAGTCGAGCGCGGTACCGGTCCATTCGGAATTTTGGTGGTACAAAAAAGCGAGCTCGGAGAACTTTTCGCTGATCAAGCTCAGCTTGTATATTGGCCGGGGGCCCGAATACGCAGACGCCCAACGATCAATTGATCGTTTTTTTCACTTTAGTAGCGGGATCCGCTGAGCGGAAGCCATATTCACACGATAGTCCATGACCAAACGTAGATACGAGCGCATTAAAGCCGCCCTGTGAACAGTCTTCATCTGCATCTCGTGTGCCTCGTCGAGGCGATCGGTAACATAATCACTTCCCCCGGGAGTCGAGGGGTCGGGGAACGGACACGGTGTCCGCAGGATTCGAGCTGGGCTCACGTCGCACCCCTCATCCTCCTCGTCTTCCCATGCTGGAACAGAGTATCCGATTCACAATCGACTTCCTCTAAATCCTCGACGAAAAATCCTTCGCCCGGGGCGGGGGCGGTGGGTGGCGCTCGGTTGCCGAGGGCTTGAAATGTGCTTTCCGTGATGCCGCGGACGTACTGCCCGGAGATGCACCCCTTGCAGAACATTCTCCGCTCAATGAGCCCTGTGTATAGTGTAATAGACAC